CAAGTTCAAGACATTGATGCTTGCATATAGAACAGCCACAGGCTCAGCACCCGCCTACTTCGCTAATTATCGCTAATTCTGATGCTAATAATAATAATAATAATAATAATAATAATAATAATAATAGGGAAATGATTCTCTGGTCGTTATATGGTCATCACCGTCAGATAAGGATTTATCAAATAATTTACTGGAGCACAGCTGTATTTTAGTAAAAGGGGTCTGACGCCTCTGATTTAATTAAACATTATTTTTATTAAACACTGCATAGACCATCCTAAACATCAGCACGGGACTTCCTTCAGACGTACCTGACACAAGAGAAGACAGGAGAGCAAGCAGTGCCCAAACACGAGAGGCCAGAGGTCCAGCATCCCTCCTTCACTCCTGTGCTGAAACCCAAGTGATGTGAAGGACCCTGAACACAAGCACAGATGCACTTTTACTCAGCGCCTTGTTTTCTGAAGCAAAAACTCTTTCTTTTCATTCGGTGACTTTATCAGAGTGATCAGTTCTTCCACATACCCGCATGTGGCGTGACTCCGCGCGTGCTCCAGCTCAGGGCTACAAACTCTTCATCACTGGTCAGTGTCAGACTGAGTAACTCCACAGACCATCCTAACAGCAGCGCAGACACAGAAACGCGTCGTCAGGAGCAGCAGCGCGTCGCGAGCGTCGCTCTCTCGCAGAGCCACAGACTCCTCGGATCTCTGCAGAAGTCGCCTGCTGTTCGGAGCAAGCACACAGTGTCATGTTGTGTGATGTGATGGAGTCTCCTCCCTCTCTCTCTTCTCTAGCACTCCAGTCCTCAAGAGTTTGAGCTTCAGACGTGTGTAACGCGAAAGACACGGCTTTTCTCCAATCATCCTTAACATTTGCAAACCAATAAATGCATTTCTCGAAGCACCACTCAGTGGATAACCTGCAAAAGCCTGAACTTTCTCAAATTCCTTAGTTCATCATCTCTCAGAAGTATGTATGTCAGTGAGCACCAGTGCATCTGAATAAGTCCTTGTGTCATTGTTCACGAACAAAATAATCATAATGTTTAGCCATGTTGTCAATATAACAGTAGACCTACACTCTGTCAGTATGTACAGTGTGCATGACAATTACTGAAAATGCCCAAGACTGCACTTTTTCTCTGTGATTTCAACAGTACAGTACACATTACTGTATGTGGAATATTAATTGCAAGAGACTGGACAGGATTCACAGTTACACAAGACTCTCTCTCCCTTTATTTAGCCTGCTGTATAATGTAAAATGCAAGTGGACTACTGTATTATGAATCATTACAATAGGCTATAGCAGTACAATCAGTGTTGATTCATAACTGTTCTGTCTACAGACGTTTGAATGATTGAACAAGGTCCATAATAACTTCATCCTTTGCCTCTTCTGCCTCTCTCACATCTTCAATCTTCTTCTTCTTCTTCTTGGCTGTTTGTTTCTTTGTTGTTCTTTTTTGTCAGAATTTGTACACTGTGTTGTGCTCTGTCTATATGCTGGTCAAATGTATAGCTTTGTGAAATGCATATCTGACCTATTTTACAGAACGGGTTGATCTAACACTTTACATTCCTTTTCGTTTGTGATATTCAAGATTCATTCAATTAAATTCAGGACACATTTACAAAAATAAAGAGAGAGAGAGAGAGCGAGAGAGGTATAGAAAAAAATGTTTGACAAATTATGAAAACTAGTTCAGCTATTTTACATTTAATAACGTATGCAATGAACTAATGCCTTGATGTTTTGAGGGGAAAGACTATTCAACAGAGAACCATAATATGTTTTGATTATGACGTAAGTAATTGATAATTTTGGAAACAGCAGACAATTGTACACAATGAATTGCATGAATGTACTAAAGCATTGGCAATTTGTTCAGAAGAATGAAATATTGCTCTGATGTGCATTAGTGACTAGATGAACGCGTAGAATTTCACTTGTGATCTGAGAAATGACTGAGAAAAAAATATAACTTATTTTACACATTTATGTCATAATGAAAAACAGACAAAAAAAGGAAAATAATACATTTTTGCTAATATAACTTTATATAAATATTATTGATCAGTTATCAATAATTCATGGCATGAAAATTAGTCTTACACCATCATGGTGTATTTACTGTAAAAACAAAAACCTTTCATACAAAAACAGCATCACTTAATTAACAGTGAATTGCTTTTTGCCATTACAATTATGATTTTTTTTTTTATGGCAAGAACTGAACTCCTTCTACTAATGAAATTGTGAGAGACGATAAAACTATGATCATCTCACAGTAAGCACACTAAAATATTATCTAAAGAATTTCACTAATGTATATTTTAGTTGAAACATAACTGGAGGGAATATAATGATAATGCGCGGGAAAGTGCGCCCTCGCGTGGCGTTTCAATACAAATGTGATTATGTGACAACATTTGACATATTCTGTGTGTTGCCTCTTCATGATAAGTCTTTTATTGCTATTTATGTTAGTATTTTATGTAGGTTTAGAGATATTTATTTTAATTTTTTATGTCTGAGTATTAATGCTCTCCTCATAAGAGCAATATTATCTTGCAATAAAATTCACACTTCACAAGCCCAGATTTGTTTGGCAATAAAGAATCTATTCTTTCTATTAGATAGATAGATAGATAGATAGATAGACAGATAGATAGATAGATAGATAGATAGATAGATAGATAGATAGATAGATAGATAGATAGATAGATAGATAGATAGATAGATAGATAGATAGATAGATAGATAGATAGATAGATAGATAGATAGATAGAT